ACAGCAACCCACAGTCTTTGAAAGGGTTGGGTTCCACCAGGAGACTCGGGCGTCTTAGTGGAAAGAATGATCTGGGCCCTGGCTGGGATGGCACAGGCGGCTGGGGGGCGGCGCCCGCGGGGAGGCACAGGCAGAGGCACAGGCGGAGGCACAGGCGGCTGGGGGGCGGCGCCCGCGCCGGGCCTGACTCAGTGGAAGGAAGTGGAAGGAAGTGGTGTGTTTCCATCGCAGAGCTCAAAAACAAGGTGGTTTGAGGAACGCTTGCGTGTCACCGGCATTTCCCTGTTGTGTTTATGAAGTGAGGTGGGAATCAAGCTCCGGGGTTCCTCTAACTGTGTCTTTTACAAGAAACCAAGAAGCCCCCATGGAACACAGGCAGGGGCTGAGGCGGCCGGGAGGGGCTGGGGAAACCCAGGCGCCGGCGCGCTGGGCTGGGAGGACGCGCCTGGACACCTCGCCTGGCTCTCCAGCACCCCATTTTAAGGATGGAAGTCTGGGGGCCACCCTCGGCCCGCCTGCCTCTTCCCAGGGCATGTCCTGAGCTCCCTGAGCTGCTTCCTTCCCTAGACGCTGGGTGGGTGCAAACAGCAGGCGCTCATGGGTGGCTCCGCGTGTCCAGGCCAGCGAGAGGCTGGGGGCTGGGAGATGGACAGGTGTGCCTCGGGGCCCCAGCCTGCTGACCCGCCGCGCGCAGCACTGCCCCTCCCCAGCCGAGGCCATGGGCACCGCAGGGTGGGGCTCTTCCTGGGGTGGCAATTCTGCTCTCTGAGGTCACTCAGAGTTTCCCCGGGTGAGGCAAGCACCGTGCTGGGGAGCGTTCCACCCTGCAGTGCAGGAGAGCAGGGGTCTGCATGATGGATTCTGCACAAGGAGAAAGCCGGGCAGCCTCCTGGAAGGAAGTGCCGGCGAGGGATCCACATGCAAACAGCTCGGGCCACAGGGCTGGTCCCTCTCTTCTCCACAGGAGTCTCCCAGTGCAGGCCGCCCCACAGAGGAAGCATCCCTTGAAGTCATGTTTCTGAGGGAGGGAAGGAGAACGAGCCGGAGGAAGGGCTGCACCGAGCGCCGCAGTGGAGAGGAAGCGGTGAGACCAACGTTCCACTCACCTGTCTGGGCTGCCATCGGACAGCAAAACAATGGGAGAAAAAATCCCCACATTTTCACAAGGAGGTTTACTGGAAAATCTTCTAATAAACAGGCTCGTAAGCACAAGCACAGCAATCTCGAAACCACCTTCTCATCATTCAAATGTTGCTTTCAGAATTGCCTCCTTCCTCCAGGCCACTGCCATGGAGGCCTGGCACTAAGTCCCCCAGGAGGTCCTGTGGCTCCGCTGGAGGCTGTGACGTTATAATCTGTTATGGGCTGCCTGTGTCCCCCTCCACATTCGTATGTTGAAGTCCTAACCCCCATGCTATGATTTGAAGATTCGTCCCCACAAAACTCATGTTGAAAAGTCATCCTCAGTGTGGAAGTCTTGAGAGGCGGGGCCTTTAATAGATGGTTCATGCATTAATGGGCTAATGGATTAATGGTTTATCATGCTATTGGGACCGGTGGCTTCATAGGAAGAGGAAGAGAGACGCGAGCCGGCACGCTCAGCATCGTCACCACGTGATGCCCTGCGCTGCCAGGACCCTGCAGAATCCCCGCCAGCAAGAAGGCCCTCACCAGATGCAGCCCTGCGATCTTGGACTTCCCAGCCTCCGTAACTTCAAGACACAAATTCCTTTTCTTTAGAGATTGCCCAGTTTCAGATATTCTGTTCTAAGTGACAGAGAGTGGATGAAGACACCCCTCGTACCTCCATGTGGCTGTTTAGAGACAGGCCCTTTACAGAGAGAACTGGGTTAAAACGAGGACTTTAGGGTGAGCCCTGAATGAACATGAGTGGTGCTAAGAGGAGAGGGCACAGACACACACAGAGGGAAGCCCCTGTGAGGCCACAGGCAGAGGACGCCATCTGCAAGCCAAGGAGAGGCCTCCAGAGAAGCCAGCCCTGCCACACGTGGCTTGAAGCCATGTGTCTGCCCTGCAGTGAAGGGTGGACTGTGAGAGAACAAATGCGTGTTGCTGAAGCCACGAGTCCATGCCCAGCGCCTGGTGCTTGTTAAGGCAGCCAGAGCAGACTGGTCCTGCATCCTTCTAGAGTGGTTTCGTATCGAATCTTGGAAGTCACCGAGCCCCCTGATTTTATAACTGAGGAGATGGAGGCGCCGCGTGTTGAGTCCCACAGCTCACCAGCTCAGCCAGTGTTCCCTGAGCCTGGCACAGGTAGGCGCTGGGCACCACGACGGGTGGGGGCCGGGCCTGTCCTCTCGGGCTGTTTGGCTCAGGAGTCACACGGGCCCTAAGCATGGGGATGCGGTTCCAGGCACCAGCAGGTGCCACAGAGGAAGCCAGTGGTGTGTGGGGGGTTCTCACCGAGCCCCAGAGGCAGGGAGGTGGCGGTCGGGACCCCAGGGAGGGAGGTGGGGCCGAGCGGAAGGGAGCACGAGGAATTTCCATGGAAAGGACCACTGGCTCACCTGGAGGAAAAGGCAGGATCCGGAGCCCCAGGAGGCCGCTGCTGGCTCAGATGAGAATGGAGGGCGGCGGCCAGAACATTCTGGATGGATTTTAAGGTACAGTTAATGAAGCTCGTCAGTAGACTCGGTGTGGGGGTGAGAGGGAAAGACAAGACCCCAAGAATCCAGGGAAGCTGAGGCTGGAGACGGGGAGCCTGGGCGTGGCCCTGGACGTGGCCAGTGCGGACACGGCCCCAACCCCCCGGCCTGCCTGAGACCCTGTAAGCAAGAACTGCTGCGATCCCAGGATGGGCCCCGGGACACCCAAGGGATGGGTTAGGAGGCGAAAGGAACCCAGTCCGGGAAACCGGGAGGCGCTGCGTTCTGAGGGGCGAGGGCTCAGCTGCTTACTTGCTGCTGAGGTCTGGAGTGACACGGGGACGGAGGAGAGAGCGCGGGACACGTTCTGAGTGCCGTTCCTGGGAAGACAGAGGTGTGCACAGGGCTCTTCTACAGCGACGGGGCTGCTTTCTGAGCCAAGCCCCGTTTCTTCACTGCTCAGCGGACCCAGCTTCTGTTCGCCACCTCCGGACGGCCGCGCAGTTCCAGGGGCCACAGGAAGCCAGCACTGCGAGGCCTAACCCGGTCAGGTCGAGCTCAGTCCTTTCGCCGGGACGCAGCTGTGGGCACAGGCAGTTGCCGCTGGGCTCCGGGAGGGACCCCTCACACGTATAAAGGGAGAAAAGAGAAGGAGCGTTCCCTTCTTCGTCCTGCCCCTGATTTCCCTCTGCTTGGGGTAGCCGTCTTGGGATTCTAGGGGATCATTTTAAGAAGAAAAGCCTACAAGCTGAGCACGGCAGTGTCCTGGGCCCCCGATGTCACTGGGTCACTTGTAATCAACCTCCAGCCTTCAGCCTGGGGCTGAAGTAATGAGAAACGCCACTGCTGCCCCGACACATCACGTCGGGGTTTTGATTTGCTCTTGGCAGACAGGCATAGACGTTCTAAGTTCAGCCTAGAAAAGCCTCTGCGTGTTCCGGAGTCAGTTCCAGGTAGCAGCAGGGTGAGCAGGCGTGAGGGCGTGCGGATGAGGCCAGGAGCCACGATGCCACTCAGGGATGGCCAACTGCGGGCACACGGCAGCCCTGACTGGGGCCGGAGGGCGTCCTTGGCGAGGAGGGGTGCTTGGCAGCTTGTAGGTCCTTTTGGGAGGACCTGGGGCAAAGTCCTTAGCTCCTCCGTGGCTGTCTCCGCAAATGTAAAATGGAGATAACCGCGCCCACCTCTAGATTAGATGAATTTCCACGTGTGAGGCAACCACATGGTGCTGGGTGTCAGATGCGCTACATCATAACCGGTGTGTGGCCTTTTTTTTTTTCTTGAAAGAAATTAAAGATAAAAATAGCTAAAATGTACTGAACACATATGAATGGTCGGACATTACACGATATGCTGGATAAATGTTGCTTAACTAATTCACCCAGCTTGGCCTTCACTTTCTGGGACTCCCTACCAGTCTCGAACTATCCCAAACGCCTTTGTCCTGAGCCAGTTTCCGCAGAGACTCGAAGCATCTCTCAGACAGCAAAAGTCATCGTCACGTAGCTCAGCCTCAAGGAATGCCCAGATGTGCCAGCCCGCATCCCAGAAGATGACTGCTGCAGCCAGGGCTAAACACCTAGTGGGCTTCCCACCCTGGCGTAGGAAGGGCAAGGGCAAAGGACTCTGAGAACACAGGGGCTACGGTGCTAGGAGGCACAACCTTTCGTGGGAGGGACGGCAATGCTATCAATGGCACTGACCAGGGAGCCTGCTGCAGCATGGCGGGCCCTCCTTCCTCGGGTGCACCTGTGTGTGTCCTCCTCGTCTGTCCGTGCGGTCGACCCGTGTGTGTGTCCTCCTCGTCTGTCCGTGCGGTCGACCTGGGGAGAAGAATCCAGAGCTGCTCTCCTCAGCACAACTCTGGCGGGGATCCCTGGCCCGGGAGAGACACACAAGCTCACTCAAGGAAACAGAGCAGGAAGCCATAGCCTGCTACGGTGAAAGGCCACGTAGGGTCCTGGCCAGGTCCCAGGGACCTGGGAATATTGGCAAAGCAAGGGTGCCTTTTCCTGAGCCGTGCTCCTGGAGAACTCAGCGTCCTCGTCTCCCGGGTCCCTTGTCAGTTACAACTGACATGTGTACAATCTGGATTTCCAACAACAACTCCCAGCACTTCTGTGGTCGTCACTGCTCTGCTGAGAAACCGCCGAGGGCTCCCTGGGGCTCTCGCTGAACTACATGCGGCCTTTGATGGGATTTTGAAACTGGCGACACAGCGGACTCTGGCAAGGATCAGACGCACAGCGAGCTGCCCTTTGCACACAGAGCCCTGAGCCACGGTCCCCGCGTGAGCCTGACTAGTTCCTGGCACAGACTCACCCTGTGACGCTCCAGGGGCCAGCAGGGCAGGCCGCTGACGAGTGCCCATTCCTGCTTCTCAAGCTCTTAAGGCCACAATCCCGTCACCGTCACTCATTCTCGCTCCAACACGGGGAGGACGGAATGGCTCTGCCGGCCGTCAGGTGAGGGGAGTCCACCCAGGGCTGCCGGTCCTTTAGCAAAGGCCGCAGGTGGGTGGGTGAGCAGCGGCGATGGCACGGGCGCGAGGCCGTGGCCCCACTTTGCCGTGCTTTTGTCCGTCGATCGAGAGGATCAGACAGCTTTTCTTTTAAAAAAAACCTTTTCAGAAGATGGATTTTACATTCGTTAATTTTCAAACGTTGAACCAACCTTTCCCTTCTGGGGCAAACCACGCCTGGTCATGCCGTTTACCCTCTTTGCCTGTCGCCGGATTATGCTGACATTGCATCAGGCCTTCACCGTCTACGTTCGTCAGTGTCGCTGGTCAGGAGTTTGCTTTTCTCGTAATGTCTGTGTCTGGTTTTGGCATTAGGGTAATGCAGGAATTGGAAAAAGAATTGGGAAGTGTTTGCTCCCATATGCTAAAAGAGTCCTATATTGTAAAATAATTAATGGTTCTTTAAATATTTAGTAGAATTCACCAGTGAAGACATCTAGGCGTGGAGCTTTTGTTTTGAGAGGATTTTAAACTGTCAAGTCAATTTCTTTAACAGAAAAATATTTGGGTTTTCTGAATCTTCCTGAGTGAGCTTTGGTAGTTTGTATTTTCGAGTCTGTCCGTGTCATCCATGATATCAAATTTCCCAGCATGGTGTTGTTTGTAACACCCTCTTACTGTCTGTAGGCTTTCAGCCCAGACACCAGCGACTTGCGTCTTTTTTTCTACGTCACTCTAAGGATTTATCAATTTTATTGATTTTTTTTTCAAAGAATTTGATTTTGGTTTTATAGTTTCTTTTCCTTTGGCTTTTCTCGTTTTCAATTTGATTCCTTTCTGCTCTCTGTTATTTCCTTCCTTGCACTTGCTCTGGATTTAATTTGTTCTCCTTGCCCTCTTTTCTTAAGGTGGAAGTTTCGTGCGTTCATTGGAGACCTTTCTTGTTTTCTAGTGAAAGCATTTAATGACGTTCATTTTCCTTTCAGCACTGCCTTAGATGGGCCCCATAATTTTTGATATATTGTATTATTTCATTCATTTCGAAATATTTTCCAAGTTACCTTGTGATTTCTTCTGTGACCCACGGGATATCTGGAAGTGTGTTGTTTAATTTCCAAATGCTTGGGAATTTTCCAGATATCTTTCTGTTTGTTATTTCTACTTTAATTCTGTTGTGGCCAGAGAGCATACTTTATGTGAGTTCAGTTCTTTTAAATTTGGTAAGGTTTGTTTAATAGATGAGCAAATGTTTTCTGATCTATCTTGGTGAATGTTCCATGTGCATTTGAAAATCATGTGGATTATGCCATGTGGCAGAGCATATAAATGTCAATTAAGTGAAGTTGGTTGATAGCAACACTTGACTTTTCTGTACAGTAAGTCCTCAATGTCCTTGATGGGTTCTCGGAAACTGACTGTAAATGAAACAACATATAATGAAACCAGTTGGATCACAGGCTAATTGATATAAACAAGGGTTAAGTTCCTATGGCATATTCCTGGTCACAAAAACACCACCAAATTTCTAAATAAAGACCCTGCACTCTTCTAATACTAAACGTTGAAGTAAATGGGAGCCATATATACATTAAGAAAGACTAGGCCAGGCGCAGTGGCTCACTCCTGTAATCCCAGCACTTTGGGAGGCCGAGGCAGGCAGATCACGAGGTCAGGAGATCGAGACCATCCTGGCTAACACGGTGAAACCCTGTTTCTACCAAAAATACAAAAAATTAGCCAGGTGAGGTGGCGGCGCCTGTAGTCCCAGCTGCTCAGGAGGCTGAGGCAGGAGAATGGCTTGAACCTGGGAGACGGAGCTTGCAGTGAGCCGAGATTGCGCCACTGCACTCCAGCCTGGGCGACAGAGCGAGACTCAGTCTCAAAAAAAAAAAAAAAAGGAAGAAAGAAAGATTAACACAAACAAGTAAGATAACTATTAACCCGATTTCTGGTGAGTCAGTGAGCGACGGCAGCTGCGGTGGTGAGAGGTGCAGGGAGGAAGGCTTAGTCCTAGTCCTCACGGCTGGTGACAGGCGAAGGTGAAGCGTCTGACAGCCACCCCTCACCTGCCCAGCCTCAAACCTCTTTATCACTTGTAGTTTTGTTTCAAATGTCACACTTTTTCTGCTTTTTAGTGGCCACAGACCTCAGGGGAGCACGGCGCACCCTTAGCACTCACTGCAACAGGGTACGTCAAGGAATACATGCCTGAAAGCAAGAAGTATAGGAAGCACCCCCATCGCCACGAGTTCAAAAACAAACAAGATCGCATACACGGTGGGCTTGCTGAGCGCTCCCTTCCCGCTTTTACTGTCACGCATTTGTATGCTTGTCATACACTTTACAAATTTTTATTTTACAAGAATTTGCATTCATTCTTTTCTTTTTTTTTTTGAGACGGAGTCTCACTCTGTCACCCAGCCTGGAGTGCAGTGGCCGGATCTCCGCTCACTGCAACCTCTGCCTCCCTGGTTCAAGCGATTCTCCTGCCTCAGCCTCCCGAGTAGCTGGGATTACAGGCACGGGCTACCACGCCCAGCTAATTTTTTATATTTTTAGTAGAGACGGGGCTTCACTGTGTTAGCCAGGGTGGTCTCCATCTCCTGACCTCATGATCTACCCCCCTCAGCCTCCCAAAGTGCTGGGATTACAGACGTGAGCCACCACGCCCGTCCTCATTCGTTCTTTTCTAATGCATTCATTCCAGTTAAGGGTTATGGGTGGCCCAGCAGCTCGGGGCACTAGGCAGGAACCAACCCTGGTGAGGATGCCATCCCACCACAGGCACACTCACACTCACGCCCACACCCACAATCACCCAGACAGGGACCGTGGCATAGGGGATAGGCACAGACACGCCAGTTCACATAATGTGCACATCTTTGGGATGTGGGAGGAAACCAAAGCATCTGGAGAAAACCGATGCAGACATGAGGAGAACATGCAACCTCCACACAGTGACTGTGGACAGGAATTGCTTTTTTTTAATTGATGGGTTTCTCTCAGGAACAGGGTGCAAGCTGTTGGTGGATCTACCGTTCTGGAGTCTGAAGGACAGTGGCCCTCTTTTCAAAGCTCCACTAAGACTCCCCCATTGGGGACGCTGTATGTGGGCTCCAACCCCACATTTCCCTTCTGCACCGCCCTCGTAGAGGTTCTCTGTGAAGGCTTTGCCCCTGCAGCAGGCTTCTCTCTGGACATCCAGGCTTTTCCAAACATCGTCTGACATCTAGGTGGAGGCTCCTAAGCCTCAACTCTTGCACTCTGTGCACCTGCAGGCTTAATACCACGTGGAAACCATCAAAGTTTACCGCTTTGATGTACCCTCTGAAGCAGTGGCCCAAGCTATACCAGGGCCCCTTTGAGCCATAGCTGGAACGGGAGTGGCAGGGATGCAGGGAGCAGTATCTGGAGGTTGCAGGGAAGTGAGGTCTTGAGCCTGGCCCATGAAACCTTTCAGTTCTCCTGGGCCTCAGGGCCTATGATGAGAGCGGCTTCCTTGAAGGTCTCTGAAATGCCTTCCAGGCCTTTTCCCCATTGTCTTAACTATCAGCACTTGCCTTTCTTTTAATTATGCAAATTTCTCCAGCAGGTGGTTGCTCAGCACCCCACTGGAATTCTTCCCCTGAAAATTGGCATTTGCTTTTCTACCACACAGCCAGGCTGCAGATTTTCCAAACTTTTATGCTGCTTCCCGTTCGGATGTAAGTGCCAACTTACTTCTTTGCTTCTGCATCTGAGTGTAAGTTGTTAGAAGCACCCAGGTCACTTCTTGACACTTTGCTGCTTAGAAATTTCTTCTGCCAGATACCCTAGGTCATCACTCTGAAGTGACTGGCTAATTTATGAAGACAAGAGATCTGATTGGCTCACGGTTCTGCAGGCTGACGGGAAGCATGATGCCGACATCTGCTCAGCGTCTGGGGATGCCTCGGGAAGGTTGCAATCATGCCGGAAGGTGAAGAGGGAGTGGCCGTGTCCCATGCCAAAAGCAGGAGCCAGAGAAAGAGTGAGAAGACACCACACATTTTTAAACAACTACATGTCACAGAACTCACTCCCTGTCACAGATACAGCGTCAAGTGGATGGTACTGCACCGTCATGAGAGATCTGCCCCCACGATCCAATCATCTCCCACTAATCCCCACCTCCAATACTGGGGATTTCAATTCAACATGAGATCTGGCGGGGAACACGTCCAGACTATAGCACTACGCCACTTCCACAGGGGTGAGAACACTCACATGGGGGATCTTTTCCATCCTTGGTGCCATTATTGTCATCACTTTTACTTCTATGTAAAAGTTATGTAGAGAACATTATTCCTATTTTTGCTTAGTCTTTTTTTTTTTTTTAAGTTCTGGGATACATGTGCAGAATGTGCCGGCTTTTCCTTAGGTACACATGTGCCATGGTGGTTTGCTGCACCCGTCAACCCGTTATCTGGGTTTTAAGCCCCACATGCATTAGGTATCTGTCCTAACGCTCTCCCTGCCCTCACCCCTCACCCCGCCCCCACCGACAGGCCCCAGTGTGCGATGTTCCCCTTCCTGTGTCCATGTGTTCTCATTGTTCAGCTCCCACTTATGAGTGAGAACATGCGGTGTTTGGTTTTCTGTTCCTGTGTTTGCTGAGAATGATGGCTTCCAGCTTCATCCACTTCCCTGCAAAGGAGGTGATCTCATTCTTTTTTATGGCTGCATAATATTCCATGGTGTATATGTGCCACATTTTCTTTATCGTGTCTATCTGATGGGTTTTTGGGTTGGTTCCAAGTCTTTGCTATTGTGAACAGTGCTGCAGTAAACACATGTGTGCATGTATCTTTATAGTAGAATGATGTACACTCCTTTGGTTATATAACCAGTAATGGGATTGCTGGGTCAAATGGTATTTCTGGTTCTAGATCCTTGAGGAATTACCACACTGTCTTCCATCATGGTTGAACTAATTTACACTCCCACCAATGGTGTAAAAGCATTTGTATTTCTCCACAGCCTCGC